TGCACATTTGTTTCTGAACAGTGCTAATTGTATTTTTCATAACTCTTTTGAAAGAAAATGCATCATTGTTGTTCCCTTGGCTTGTCTTGACTGGCTGCTAACTTTTAATGACTCTTGTGAATGCTTGCATATTTGAATTAATATTTGCCTACATAAAGAAAACTATTAGCGAGAAAGCTATACTAAATAGATGGTGTTTGTGTAAGATGTTTGACCAGATCAGATAAAGACTTTGTGCTTATATTTGCATAATATGTGAACCTTTAGATTTAATTATTTTTTGTTTCATTTTTAAATGGCCTACCAAAATGGGGATGTAATAGCTAAAATATTTGTGGCATGTGATTGCTTATTTATCCTCTTTCAGTGGGGATAGTCCTGAAGATGACCAAAGCTTTGGAAAGATTATAAATATTAAATTCTTCTTATTGTATAGATAGACTTTCAGAAATGAAGATCAAACTCAATCAATCCTATCCAATGATACCCAGAGAAATTATGGTAGAATTGCCCCCTTCTATTTTCTGTGTTTTAGAGATATGAACACTTTGAAAATTATTCAAAAGTTGGGCTTCAAACTGCATGTGGGCACAAGCAGAACATTATTCTGCTATTAATAAAAGTACCCCCCTTCCTCCCCCAGGCTTCCATATGAACCTTCAAAAGGAGCATCTGCATTAAAGAGATTTATTAATGTTAAACTGACTCATAAAGCAACTCATAAAGAATTACTGTGCTTGTATAAGATCTGAAGTATTTTGTCTAAATCAGGGGTCCCCAAACCCCAGTCCACTACTGGGTCGCGGCCTGTACGAAACCGGGCTGCCGGAGAGATGGGCAAGAGCGTGTGCGTGAAGGTCCAGTCGTGTGAGCGGTGGTGAAGTGCTGTCCACTCGCATGAATGGAGCTTTTGTGTGAGCGCAAGTGCCTGCTGCTTGTGTGAGTGGAGCATTGCACACGAGCACAAGTGCCCTCCGCTTGCATGAGTGGAGCTTTGCATGCAAACGTCCTCCGCTCAGACGAGTGGAGCTTCATGTGTGAGTGTAAGTATCCTCCACTCATGCAAGTGGAGCTTTGCATGCACATATGTGCACTTGCAAGCCATTTGAGTGGAGCTGTGCGTGTCTGCCACTCACATGCCTCCCCTGCCCCAGGCTGGGCTGCCAAGCTGGGAAGGTTGGGACTGCTGGTCTAAATAATTTTTGAAGCATGCACAACCCAATGGATTTTAACTTTATCTACACAGTTTAATATGAAGTTATATATATTAGAATATTTCAGATCTTCTCCAAATATCAACAGAATTGGACTAGACAGTACCTTATGTGCATTTCATATCATTCAATTACTCGCAGTTGAATTTTACAGTTTGAAAATATAGTTTTGATTCTGTTCTCAAAAAGAAAATGTAGCATGCAAAATTATTTTTTAAAATAATGCATAGTGCATTCCATTATAGATACAATGCATAGTCGAAGCTTGGTGGTGTACTTTGAGGAAAAATGCTGTTTTAATTTAAAATTGATTATCTATAGATGTCATCCAGCCTTTTGAAAAACATTCATACTTGTAAAGTTATACTTTTCAGTAGGCAGTTATTATTATTTTACATGCTGTGATTTTAATTCTTAGGGTTCAATTACATAATTAAATAGTGTATCCTACTGTTTCCTGGACATAAAACTCTCAGTTTTCTGGGATATAATAGCAACTTTTGCACTTTCATAATGTTCTATTTAAGCTTGACACTATGTGTTTCTAGTTTGGACTATGCTTCAGATTGAAATTAAATATTATGTTGCGTCTCTAAATCTTCTATAAAAAGATGCCGATAGAATACAGACTTTCCCATCAAACCCTGTCAAGTCTAATTCACTTAGTTACTTATTGAGCTTCTTTAGGATTAATTTCAGTGGAATTTAATGTTTTATTAGAATAACGTTAATGGAAAACATTAGCTAATTATTAGTGCCGATAAACAACTCGATATAAAGACAAATAAATTAAGTGCAATCGTGAATTCCTCTACAGACTAAAAATAATAAAATTAGGCCTCATCTACAGCTGTTTGAATAATCACATTTGTCTTTCACTATTAGTTCTTACATGCCGATATGTTTCAAGGTTGTACTCTGCTTAGGTTTATATCAAACCAAAGATACTGTATTTCTTGGGCATTTGAATAACATTCTTTTACTAATTATTATAATGTCTCTATTTTATATATGAAGCAGAATCCAACTGCTTGGCAGAATAGCTTAAAAGTTTTTTGGTGAACATTAGGATGATAGTTGTTGGATTTATTTCTTACCAAGTGGTTTGGTTTTGGTTTTTTATAATGAAAGGTGGAGAATTATATCTTTTTTTTTTGCTTGTAAATGCTGTTAAGTTTACTGCAAAGATAAATACTATAGTTTTTTTTATATTGGGTATTATTATTTATCTAAGGAGTTTCCAACTTTGGTGAAGAGAGACACAGAAATTGTCAGATATCATTCACCTTTATAAAAAGAAGCCTATTTTTCCAAATTTTGAGAATTTCCTTCTGTGTCAGAAATCACAATCAAGAGTAAGTAGACAGAATATCATCACTCCAAGTCTATTGATGCTATATAGTTTATAATGGGAAAAGTCAGCTATTAAAAAAGAAGAGTGTTGACCAGTCATTACTTAGAATAGTTTCATATATATTCACTATACAGATGGGAAATAGCCAGTGACTTTGCTATGCTTGCTGGGGAATTCTAGGACTTGGAAGTCCACACAAGTTAAAGTTGTTGAGGTTGAGAAACACCAGCATAAATTAATAATTCATCCTTTCCTCTCACTCGTTGCACACTTAAAATCCAAGACAGATTTATCAAAGCTGCTTATTCTTCACTATCTGTGATAACAGTCCTTGCACATCTTCACTTTTGGCCTTTCATTTTCTGTTCTCCTATTGAGCCAGCAAAAAAAAGAAGCAATGAATCACTTTTTTTCTGCCACATCATACCCAAAGGATAATTAACTCTACTTTTCATAACTCTACTGTTTTCATAACTCTACTGTTTTCATAACAGTAATAAATTTTGTGGCCTTTCCATTATAATTATTCCTTTCTCTGATCATTTTTTTTTCAGATCAGGTGAGATATTCTTTGAATATGTAAAGGTTTGCTTCAAAGTTATAGCACTGGTCTAGCAATCCAAGTAGATTATAGGGCTGCACAGCTATAGGTTGTTCTTTTTCTACTTTATGAGCAGTTGAATGACCTCTGCAACCAACACAATCCCTATGAATATAGATAGTCCTTTACTTACAACAGTTCATTTAGTGACCTTTCAAAGTTACAACTGCACTGGAAAATGTGACTTATGACCATTTTTCACAGTTATGACCTTTGCAGCATCTCCATAATCATGTGATCAAAATTCAGATTCTTGGCAACTGGTTCCAATTTATGACCATTGTTGTGTCTCAAGGTCATGTGATCCCCTTTTGAAACCTTCTGACAAGCAAAGTCAATGGGGAAGCCAGATTCACTTAACAACTGAGTTACTAATTTACCAACTGCAGTGATTCACTTATTAATTGTAGCAAGAAAGGTCATAAAATTGGACAAAACTCACTTAACAAATATCTCACTTAACAACAGAAATTTTGGGCTCAATTGTGGTTGTTAAGTCAAGGACGTATACAGAAATCTGCCTTTCACAGAAGAGAATAGGGGAAAGAGCCTCTGCCACCACAGTCTTTGGATGCACTGTGTCTTCTTAATCATCATCATGCTAGCTCAAGACTGAACTAAGCAAGAAAGAGAAGTTCTGATTTAATAGAATTTTTTCTCAGTTTGGTCTCAGATAAACATATGAAGTACAGAATAATTTCTTATTATTTTCATTTTCTGCCACAAAAGCTGGTTGGCTTTATTTATCTCACAGGAAAAAAAATCATATCAGAAGCAAATACACCGATGCCCATAAAAGTATTTTTTTTTAAAAAAATCCTTTTTAAGATGCTAACAAATTTACTTACAAACACCTATATTTATTATTTCATAAATAGGCGCAACAGCTTCCATAAAAAAGATTAAATACAGACACAGGATGAAGAAACAATAATACAGAGCAATATGTAAAGATTATAATTTAGCTGTTTCCAATCTGTTTCTGCATCTAATAAAATATCAAGAAAGCATTTGGCAGTTTTATACATAAGAGGATGTAAATGACATTTACTAACTGTTACACATAAAGTGATAAAAAAGCAGTTTTAGGCAGTACAAAATAAATGTGTTTGCTCTTTTCCCAATATCACTTTTTTCTTTGTATAATTAATGACACAAAGCCAATTTCTGTTTAATTAAAATCATTTGGGAATAATTTTCATCTTTCTTTTCAGAGTTTGAAAATATAGAACTATTAGTCAGTTGCTTAAAAATGAAGTAAAAATATGAATGTTTGCCAATTTAACCCCCTTTGTGAAATCAATAAACTGGAATGAGCCAGTTTCAAAGTACAATTAGCTACAAAAAAACATTCACATTTTATACTCTAGGAGAGTGAAACATAGATGCTATTTACAACTTGCTATGACTGCTACATAAAGCCATTTAAAAAGTCTTTAGTAGTTTCATATAAACACCCATTATGAAAACCAATGGAAAATCCAGGACTTTTATCCAAGACAGCTACAGTTGCTAAGGCAGTTACTAGCGCAGCACTTCACAGCAGAAATAAAAACCAACAAAATCCAAATGGTCCAAGACTCCTTCTGCAAGGAAGGAAGAAAAGCAATGTCCATTTAAGAAAGGAAGGAGAAAAAGAAAGGAGGGGTGGAGGAACAAGACTTTTTTTTTCCCAGAGTGAATGACCCACCAGCAAAAATAGTCCTAAGTGCTTAGCGACTTATACGTTCTAAATAAATGCAGAAGAGCCTAGACTGCATAAAGCAATCCATGATGAAAAGACTTTCCTGCATTCCTCAGCAAAAAGAAGAGATGCATTTCCAAAATATTTTCAGGTAAGATACAGCGCTTTGTCCCTCGGCATGGCCCTGTTGAACAGAGGAGGAGGGAGAAAAAAGAAGTTAAGAGTCACATTAAAAAGCAAATGTAAGTGGGGACAAGTGTTAATCTCTGAATCCATGCTGTGATTTTTTTTAAAGCTACTGAAACAGTCATACTGTATTTCATATTCTCATTAAACTCAGGTGAAGCTTTATTTTCACAGAGAGCACATTGTTGAAAGGAAACCATGTTCTTTTGATATTGGAGAAAAACCTGTGTGGAGAAACTCCAGAAAGGTTATTCTCTCAAATGTAATATTTATTCTGGTTGGGGATTTTAAAACCTCTTTTCTTTATAGCACTTTGTGGTAGGAGGCCGCAAATTAATAGTTCTTATAATTAGTATTGTGGTTGAGTAAAAATATAATCTTAGCAAATTCCCTTCAGTGAAATGCCCTGAAAATGAATGCTTTGTGACAAGTGTACATGTGGGAGTCATAAATCCCAGTTGGATGGTAGGTCTGACATCATAAGTGAACAATTAGAGGAGCAAAGAAACAGGCATGGAACTCTGCCTATGTAGTAAGACATTGCACTTGCCATCTTCTACATGCTCTAAAGCAGGTATGTCAAACTGCTGGCCCAAGGACCGGACGCATCATCCGGAAGCCACACCCACCCCATTGCCGGCAATGGCAAAAGAGTCCCGATATGTTGCGCGACGTCATGTGACATCGTGAGTTTGACATGTCTGCTCTAAAGTCTCTTCTTGAGATTCAAGAAATTTTCTAGATGGATCTGAGGTTGAAATACATGCTGTACTACAAAGAATAAACAAATGAACATAGGAAACCATCTGTAAAAGTTGAGTGCCTTGTGCTCATGGATAAGGCCCTTTGGCTCAACGAACAATTGGCTCATTCAGTGGAATTTATGCTTCCTTAACAAAATGTACCTATCAAATGAAGTAATCATAAGCTGTAAAAGTTCAGAAAGCAGCAGCCTTACATGTAAGTTATAGTATCTCACTTCTAAATCTGCCTGACAAGTTCCCCAAGTTTGGCCACAGAGCAATGGCAGCCAAGACTCAAGGTTGACTAGAGTTATTTAACAAAGATCTCTTTATACAAGTTAATGGGATTGTCCCTTCTCAGTCTAGAATTTTTCAAATTTAAATCTTAGTTGTAGTTTAAGATCCTCTCCCAAAACCTCTTTCCTTAATTGTGGCATATAAAATCAATCCTTCTGTTAGCTATATTAACATTTCTGCTAGCCTCTAGAATATATTTGTTGTATAAAAATGGAAACCATGCCTGAGTCCAGTTTTTGTTTTAAATGCTACTCAATGCCAGGTGGCATGCAGTGGCTGCTCACCCATTACTGCAGTAATCATTATTCCATTCCACGGTCTGTGCTGGGGGATTTCTGCATCCTGAACGAACATATTCCATTGCTTGGGTAACAACTTGTGCAGCTGTAGATGCTGGATTAATAATATTCTGGTAATCAGGCTGGAGAGTAAAACCCTAAAAACAAAATAAACAAGGCTTAACTATGCAAGCTAACCTCTCAATTGAAAAGCTTAATAAAGTATCAAATTGTTCTTTGCCATTCTTAAACTTGCAGCAAAAAGAAAATAGATGGGCACTTGAGGCTTTTCAGACAATAATTTTAATTGGTTAAGACAAATGCCAGACAACAAATTGCAATCATGTAGAGAGAACGTTGAAACAAAGAACAAAGAACATTTTAAAGCTTTGCAGAAAACCAAAAAACAGTGCATTCAACATGAGAAAATAAAAGAAAGGTCTGTTTGTTTCTTGGAAGCTCATATTTCAATTCAATCCAAGGATATTCTATTAGTTAATTCCAAGAATATGCAACAGAATCTTTTTGAAGGAAGCAGGCAGCAGGTGGCTGAGTGTTTTATTAGACTACACCTATTCACAATTATTGTTCTCAAACCCCTTTTATTTGGTTCAGTCACAAAAGGACCATCTGCTGCTTCCTTTATTTGCACTTCTTTCTCAACTATACAAAAAAATCAACTAAAGCTTTTTAACCGTTGTTAGACTAATGTAGCAAAAAAAAAACCAGCTCTCCCTGTCTATCTCCCCCCCCATTTACTGTTGTTTTCAACATGTTAAATGTTTTCCAAATCAGAAAGCTGATCATATTTTCAAGAACGTTTTATTGCCAAAAGGTCAGGAGACCTGCTTTAATGGGTATCATAATAGACCAACTGATGTACACCACAGAAAACAGAACAGACCAGTCTAAAAAGAAACTTCCCAAGGGCATCAGAGGATGATACATTAAGTAAATGTTTTGTTTAACTGAGCAGAACGAATTTGTCAGAAATTGCACTCTCTTCTCACTAGTTTATATTTGGCAAACAGAATAAACACCTAACTTAAATCAACAGGTTTCTAACTGACTATTCATGTTACTACTACCTGAGTAGCTCACGAGATGGTGTTCATTTAACAAGGTAAACTTTTGAAGCACTGTTTATTGTCAGGTAGGCCAAGATACAGAACTTATGAAGGATGAGGAAGGTTGGAGCCCTTAATTGCTGGAATATAAACTGCATCATATTCAATTCACTTAGCCTGTCAATGGAAGTTCTTACAGTATCTTCAGATTTATAGGCTCCTGTCAACTAATCTCAGGAATGGTTTAATACTATGATGGGGACAATGTTTAAATCCAGCCACTTTCCAATTATTACTTTTTCTATATGGCAACTAAAATAAAAATATACAGCCTATATATAATGCGTGTGTCTGTCTGTGTGTGTATGTGTGTGTGTGCATAGAAAGGAGAAAGGAAAAGAGTAGTCACCTTTCTAAATGAATTCCTAATTTCCAAAGGGAAGACAGATTCACTTAATAACCATGTTACTAACTGAACTGTAATGATTCACTTAACTGTGAGTAGAAAGGTCATACAATGGGGCAAAACTCACTTAACAAATGTTAAGAGTCAAACAAATAGCCCAGGAAATCTTGATATTTTCTGTTCCAGTGAAAAATAATAATATTAAAAATGTGCTACTAATATGCTAATAATATTAGGAGTGGCCACAATATGACTAAGCAAAAACAATGTATTTCTTTTACTATTGTATATACTATATAGCATATTTGGATGTAATTTGGGGTGTCAGATTTCTCTAAAACAGCTTTTTAAAATTTTATTCCATGACATTTCTTTTTAATAAGTAAGTCATATATGCTAATTTTTATCCTAGTTCTGTGATGTCTTGTTAAATTGTGGAACACATAATACTTTCCTAATCTCCTATGCTACTCTTCCCTTAGGGTATTTTTTAAACTTTTCCACATGATAGCTGTTTCTTTTAACTGCCAAGTTAACTGCATTTAAATGTAGTGACGTTACAATTCTTAAGACTGGATATCGTTTTAAATCTATAACATATGTTTTGCAATATTTCTTTCATGCTTGGACTTTCAAAAGGGAAGATGTTATTTGCATGCATGAAAGGTTTTTTTGAAAGGTTTTTTCATCATACATATATGTACACAGCAACAGATCTATGAAAATAAGTACTTCTGATTCCCTTTTAGGTTTAGCTATACATGTATACATGCAATATGGGTTTTGCAAGGAAGCAAACAGATCTAAATTATTATAAAGGCTGATAAAGATATGTACAACCCATAAAACAAACAAACACTCACCTACCCTGCTTAAAGAGCATCTTCTACTTAATTTAAAGATACCACTACGTTTTAAAATAAGTTTTAAAGCACCCTGAAAAGTACAGGTGGTCCTCGACTTACAACAGTTCATTTAGTGACTGTTCAAAGTTACAATGGCACTGAAAAAGTGACTTACGACCTTTTTTCACACTTATGACCGTTGCAGCATCCTCCTGATCATATGATCAAAATTTGGATGCTTGGCAACTGGTTCACATTTGTGACTGTGGCAGTGTCCCAGGGTCATGCGATCACCCTTTGTGACCTGACAAGCAAAGTCAATGGGGAAGACAGATTCACTTAATAACCATGTTACTAACTGAATAACTGCAATGATTCACTTAACAATTGTGAATAGAAAGGTCATAAAATGGGGCCAAACTCACTTAATAAATGTCTCACTTAACAACACAAAATTTTGGACTCAATTGTGGTCATACGTCAGGGACCACCTGTATTTCAAAAATATATCCTTCATTAGCAAAGTTTATGGAAAATGGGCATGTTTCAGCAAACTATTTATTTCTTATGTTTGTATCCTATTTTTCTTTAGAAGGCCAAGGTGATAGCTATAGGATCGCCTCTTCCTGTTTTCTCCTTTATAATCATCATAATAACTAAGTTAGGCTGAGAGAATGTGACTAGCTCTCAAAGCCCCCACTGATTTTCCATTGTAGGGATAGAATGAAATCTGGATCTCCCTCCTCCTCACTATTTATTTATTTATTTATTTATTTTTCATAATTTATATGCCGCCCTTCTCCCCACGGGACTCAGGGCGGCTCACAGCATATTAAAATAACACAATACAAACAACACACACAACATTTCCCCTATAAAAGCCAATTAAAACCAAATATTTGTAGCTGTGACATTATTAAAATCATTAAAAATTATCCCTATTTAAAATTNAGATCCGGGATTGTCCGGATCTCGGGGGGTAGCTCGTTCCAGAGGGTGGGGGCACCCACAGAGAAGGCCCTCCCCCTGGGGGTCGCCAGCCGACATTGCTTGGCCGACGGCACCCTGAGGAGGCCCGCTCTGTGGGAGCGTACCGGTCTGTGGGAGGGAATCTGTGGCAGAAGGCGGTCTCGGAGGTATCCAGGTCCTACTCCACCCAAATTCAGTACTTGGAAATAAATTTATTTAACACATATTCTTTTTTTTAGCAACATATGCACACATCACAAAAATGATACCAGGCTAGATAAAATGCTTTAGATAACATTTATATCTTTCTCTATTTGCCAAGGCAATCACTGCCTTAGCACTGTGGCTAACAAGTTATCAACAATATAAGCGCTACAAAGAATGCCTTCTTTAATCATTGTTTTCTGCCTTACATATTTCCCTATCAGGAAATATAAAACTGGCTCAATCTATGCAGTTTCTTATAAGATATTAGATATTTTAACAGAGAACATTTCTTGTATTTTTTTAAGTGAAACTCTAATATTATAATGGTCAAGTAATTTATAAGTTGTCTTGGGAATACTATAAAACGCAAGACCTATATTTGAAACAAAACAGTAATACAGTTTTCTCCAGGCAAACGTAACGTGGTAGAGCCACGTAACCCTGTTAAAGACCACTTAAGTATTCTTATACAGCAAACAGCAGCGTATTTGTCCTTTCATTGTATGCATCAAAGAATGATGAATACCTTTTAAAAACATTGTGCTATCTGACATACTAAGGCTAATATTTTGTTTAAAGAATACTAAAGTTAAAAAATTATCCATATATTATAATTTATCCTGACATTTCTGATTTGTATAATCCTGTATAAAATTAACTTAAGATATACAATTAAACTCCAGTGTAAAAAACTTCAAAAGAACTAAATGCATCAAGAAATCAAGCGCATCCAATAAATTAACTGAATACTATGAAATGAAATAACTTCAATACCCAGCCCTATATTCATCAAGTTGTTATGCGCAAAATATAATTTTAAAAAATTGTAAGTTTAATGTATATTTTCAATCAATATATCCATGAATGTATTCTTTGGTATAAGACATCAATCTTCAACCTATGACCTTTATAATTTTTTGAGCCTCTTCATATATGCACATTCAGTTTCCTTTCTTGATCATTATAATTCAGTAATGATTAACTGAATTTTAATAGTTATTAAAAGCAGATAAAGGCAAGCAATCCATGTCAGTTCCATGAATGGCTTTATCAAATTCAAAGTTAAAATGAGAAAAAAAATATAACATAAGACAAGTTCCAAACAATTAGTTCATCTTATGAGATAGCTGTGAATCTGAAAGTAGGAGCTGTGAACGCAGGAAGACCTTCAAGTCATATTCTGCCCTTCAGAATAAATGTGTCAATATCCACAGCCAACATTGGAGTTGACTTGAGTTGTATTATTTATACACAAACAGTATTTACATTTTTCAAAGGTTAAATTTTAACATGTTTTCTCCATTCCTATTATATCTTTCAAACACTGGATCAGGAGTTCCACTGCATTTCTGGTTAAACCTGAGGAACCCCATGGAATAGGGGTCTAGGCTATACTTTTCTCCACTAGAAATATTGATTGGAAGCAGTCCTGGAGGAAGGAGAATAATCCTTCAAAAACTGGCATATGACTTCTCCAGTGGTTTCATGTACAGTAGATTTTTAACAGCATGGCAGAGATAGCCTAACCACTGTGTACCTCACACTATAGCAACCAGGAACAAAAGTATTCTGTCCCCGTAAGTACTGTCAATAACTAACCACTCAGGAAAGATTGAACCCACCATTAAACAATGCTCCTACTCCCAGTCCTTGTAAATGATACA